GTAAATAGCACACACTGTGTTGTAGATAAAGAGAGAGGGGGGGGGAGGGGGAGAGAGGGCAGAAAGAGAACTATGAGAACAGAGAGAGTCGGGAAAGAGGAGGAAGAGAGAGAGAGGTTGAGGGAGTTAGACAGAGTTATAGAGAGAGAGGGAGGGAGAAAGTTTGAGAAAGAGTTAGGACGATGGAGTTTCTAACAGAAAGAGTTAGTGAAGTATATTGAGAGAGAAATGGAGTTAAGGAGAGTTATTGTGAGAGAGTTTTATAGAGTTTGGGAAGGAGAGAATAGTTTAATAACCGAGATCAACAACAACATTCCTACTAAATAAAATAAATTAGGGTAGTTAAATTATCTTTTATTTTAATATTGACCTTGGCGTCACTAGACTTGACTACGCCTGATGTGACCGCACCCGTGCACCATTTGTGACCGCACCCCTGCACCCCCTTGTGACGCCAATCGGTATCTTTAGCTGCCAATATTATCATTGGGAAATGATGCCTGTATCAATACACGGGAGGGGTTTAGTTAACACTGAGGCTTGAGTTACATCTGTGGCCAGATGTGTTGATTCAGGTAAAATAGAAATAGTGAGATCGATGTTCTGGTAGGGTTGTTGTGTGAGCTGTGTGTGGCGACTACACGGTGTTGTATATGGAAGGGGAGGGGGTCTGGTCATGCGTTTTTTTCCCCGCAGAAATATAGGGTCTTGGCTAATCTAGACAACCCGGGTCTGGTCTAATCTAGACAATCCGGGTCTTGTCTAATCTAGACAACCCGGGTCTGGTCTAATCTAGACAACCCGGGTCTGGTCTAATCTAGACAACCCGGGTCGTCTGTCTAACGCAGACACTTCGGTTCTAGTCTATCTAATCTAGACAACCCGGGTCTTGACTTATCTAGACAACCCGGGTCTTGTCCAGTCTAGACAACCCAGTTTTTGCCTGTCTAGTCTGAAAGTTGTCTAACCCGCGTCTAATCACAGACAACTGCGGCCCTGTCTCTCTAATGTAGACATCCATACATACATGATGCCTACATTAACGTATCGATTAGGACCAGATAAAAGGAATATCTCTCTCAATAGTCTTCTGACAATAGCTGCTAAATATATGTGTGTGTTTAAGTCTTCTGACAATAGCTGCTAAATATGTGTGTGTGTTTAAGTCTTCTGACAATAGGTGCTAAATATATGTGTGTGTTTAAGTCTTCTGACAATAGGTGCTAAATAAATGTGTGTGTTTAAGTCTTCTGACAATAGCTGCTAAATATATGTGTGTGTTTAAGTCTTCTGACAATAGCTGCTAAATAAGTGTGTGTGTTTAAGTCTTCTGACAATAGCTGCTAAATATATGTGTGCGTTTAAGTCTTCTGACAATAGCTGCTAAATATATGTGTGTGTTTAAGTCTTCTGACAATAGCCATTAAATATATGTGTGTGTTTAAGTCTTCTGACAATAGGTGCTAAATATATGTGTGTGTTTAAGTCTTCTGACAATAGCTGCTAAATATATGTGTGTGTTTAAGTCTTCTGACAATAGCTGCTAAATATATGTGTGTGTTTAAGTCTTCTGACAATAGCTGCTAAATATATGTGTGTGTTTAAGTCTTCTGACAATAGCTGCTAAATATATGTGTGTTTAAGTCTTCTGACAGTAGGTGCTAAATATATGTGTGTGTTTAAGTCTTCTGACAATAGGTGCTAAATTTATGTGTGTTTAAGTCTTGTGTCAATAGCTACTAAATATATATGTGTGTTACACCGATACTTCTGACAATAGCTGCTAAATATATGTGTGTGTTTAAGTCTTCTGACAATAGCTGCTAAATATATGTGTGTGTGTTTAAGTCTTCTGACAATAGCTGCTAAATATATGTGTGTGTTTAAGTCTTCTGACAATAGGTGCTAAATATATGTGTGTGTTTAAGTCTTTTGACAATAGCTGCTTAATATATGTGTGTGTTTAAGTCTTCTGACAATAGGTGCTAAATATATGTGTGTGTTTAAGTCTTCTGACAATAGCTGCTAAATATATGTGTGTGTTTAAGTCTTCTGACAATAGGTGCTAAATATATGTGTGTTTAAGTCTTCTGACAATAGGTGCTAAATATATGTGTGTTTAAGTCTTGTTACAATAGCTGCTAAATATATGTGTGTGTTTAAGTCTTCTGACAATAGCTGCTAAATATATGTGTGTTTAAGTCTTCTGACAATAGCTGCTAAATATATGTGTGTGTTTAAGTCTTCTGACAATAGCTGCTAAATATATGTGTGTGTTTAAGTCTTCTGACAATAGGTGCTAAATATATGTGTGTGTTTAAGCCTTCTGACAATAGCTGCTAAATATATGTGTGTGTTTAAGTCTTCTGACAATAGGTGCTAAATATATGTGTGTGTTTAAGTCTTCTGACAATTGCTATTAAATATATGTGTGTGTTACACCGATACTTCTGACAATAGGTGCTAAATATATGTGTGTGTTTAAGTCTTCTGACAATTGCTATTAAATATATGTGTGTGTTACACCGATACTTCTGACAATAGCCATTAAATATATGTGTGTGTTTAAGTCTTCTGACAATAGCCATTAAATACATGTGTATGCTAGACCCAAGCATAAATGGGAAGTTTGCATTATCTCCATTGTGCCGTTTGACCTAGGGACTATTTACATTTAATTAAGCGAATACACTTTATTCCTTGCTGGTGGGGTATCGGCCTTTGTAGCGAATGGGGACGGTCGGGGGTGGGGGGGGGGGGGGTGAAGGTATATGGGTGTATGTGTTTGGGGGGGGGGGGGGCAGGTCGTAACTCCGCATATTCCCCAATGGTCTTGTTGACATCGGAATAAAATGTGATTAATTAAAACTATAAAAAAAGTAGACCAAGCCTTAGAGGTATTGACGCAAGAGACTTCTCTCAGACACTGGTCGTCCGATAGTTTTGTGGCAGCGATAATATCTTTAGTGTCGTTATAAACGCTGCAAGGTTTATGGTTATATGGCCGACATAAAAATTTTAGGCTAGTGGTAGAATTGGGTGATACAGTTATAAGGAGATACAGGTCGGGCTTCGAGTAGTTGCCGACACTGTCTTCTGTACGAAACGTCTCTTCTTGTGCTTGTGGCATACATCGACGCTGGGTAAGGACTTAATCTATGTGGCGACGGAAAGGCCATAAAACCAACGCCCTTATTAAAAGTTACAACTAGAACCTTGACCGATTTAGACGGATAGAATTATCAACACTTGTAAACAAGAATACGTGTTAATTGCTAAACGGTGGCACGCCCACAACATAAAACTTTTACCAGTATGCGACTAGTGCTTCTTCTTCTTTGCTTTTTTCAACTCCCAAAGTATCATAGGTCATTTACACACCATTTTCATGTTTATTTTTATTATTTGCTGTTTTATTCCCCTCGTGAGCACTATATCGCCTACGTTAATTTTAAAGAGCGCCATACACAAAGGTGACGGTGGGCTACTAAAATCCTTGACAATATTGAACTAGGCGCAATCGGTGTGTTTGTGTGTCTCTTTTGTTGCTTATCCTTGTGGATCCCACGATATAATCTGGTAAAACTTATTTGCTGGGTTTTTTTTTTCGACTAATCGCTAGCAGTTTAAAATGTAGGCGTTGTCGTGACGTCAATTATGACGTCGAAATTTGTCATGTTGTTCCTAATATTTCCGTTTCTACTTCACTGGTAGTGGCGTCAAACAACATCAGAGGATTATAAGTGAGAATCCCGACTTAATTAATCAGCTAATTATGTGCTTCACTATCAGTGAATTGGCACAAGGTTATACGTGAGAATCCACGACTTTATTTAATGAGCTAATTATCTGCTTTACCATTAATGCAGTGGTATGCTAACATAAAATCCGAAATCATTTAATACTTTTAATAAAAGAATGACCAATTTAAAAAAAAAATCACGATTTAGGCATTATGAGCAATTTTAATAAAAACATTGTTAGTCATCAACACTCATAATCACATTTTCCCGTTCGTGCCCACTACACATCACGCAGATTTGATCTATAAATAGACAGTGTAATTAGCTTTGTTTCATTAGCGTGAGTCAGGTACTCATTACTAATCAACACTGGTTGAAGTTAAAACTTGATTGTATGAATTTTACTTCACCAGTAAACGGTGACAAGATAGGTCGGTATTGTTGACTCCCTGTGGTAGGTACGATATAGATTCTTCATTACAACCTCAGGAAATTCTCGTTTTCCTGATGTTATAAACTGTATCCTCTTTCGACACGATGTGATATTTTGTACACAAGACATTCGACAGAATTTCATTCCCAGTAATGTTTTCAAATGTTTTCTTGCACAACACCCTACATTATAAGCATCAAGTTTCATTTTTTACTTAACATTTTTAGCACACAAAGTTTCGTTTAAATTACCGGGGATCTAATACGTCGTGTCGAAAATGGCTATAGACTCATAGATACTTGTGAAACATAATGGACAATTTAAGCACAAATAGATACTTGTGAAATAAATGGACAATTTAAGAACAGATAGATACTTGTGAAACATATGGACAATTTAAGCACATATACATACTTGTAAAACATGGACAATATTAGCACATAAACACCTCTAGACGAGGCACATGCATAGCCTATACCTTCAGATACTCATAAACACGATCGACACCTAAAACCGATCAAGACCCTAAAACCGATCAAGACCCCTAAAACCGATCAAGACCCCTGCTTCAAACGTTCCCTCGACACGAGACACACCTTGACTCAACAGCTCAACCAAGCGACCGACTAGTGACGTAGCCTGCCAATCGCCCTCCCCCACACGACCAAACCAGTCCGTCAGCCAATAGCAAGACCGCTAGAGTTTGTTCAGTCGATCCAGGTACCTGCCGTTTTCTAATGCGGGGAATTACGTCACTGGGAGAACTTTTGGTTAGCGTGTAAAACGAAAAGTAATTTATTTTCAAATTAAAAAGTACGTAAACTTAATAATATCGTCGTAAACTTAATAATGTTGTTGTAAACTTAATGATATTGTCGATGGACATAATTTATGTGCATAGTTCAGACTTTTCTAAGCTTTTACTGTTTTTGATTAGCCGTACCAAGATCACTACACTTTTCTACTGCGTGGATTAATACATCATAAAGTGAAGACTGGATAGCGTGTAAAGAATTCGTTTTTCGTAAAAATTGTAGTTTCTCCAATTCCAAAAGTGATTACATATTTTATTTTTTATTTTATTTATGTTCGAGTACGATGGTTGTATTTTTAAGAAGTGGTCGCCATACTTTTCGATTAGACGTACCTACATTTTGTGTTGTATATCCAACAAGTGAGAAAACACATTAAAACCTGAGTGCGCAGCTACAAATAAGTGATTTTTTTTTTTAGTTGTTCATGTTGTGAATTTTTAACTGTTTATTTTTGTGATATTTCAAGAGTGAATTTGTGTGATTTCTGATGTGTTTATTTCTGTGACATTTTGACTGGTTTTTACTTTCTCGTATATACGAAGTATAGAGAAAGTATTGTAATCGTGCACAAAAATAACATGAAATTTTGAGTTTTCACCGTTTTACTCCTCAGTCCTTCATCACATCCGGAGTATAGAGGACTTATTTTAATCAGGCAAAAATTATAAATACAAATATATAAACGTTTTGGCGTTTTATGCGTTATCGAGTCGTAAAAACTGGACTTTAGCAATTCTGTCCGTATGTCTGTGTGTCTGTCTGTGTGTCTGTGTGTAAACACGATTACTTGAGTACCGTTACAGCTAGGTTGATGAAATTTTATATGTAAGTATTATATCAAAATCGTAGATCCTGATCAACTTTTGAGCGATTTCCGATAACCGGAAGTGGTACTTTTTCTACTTTGAATTTTTCAAAAGCCTATAAGTTGCGTACTATTTTAGATAGATGAAATTTCACGCGTAAGTAAAAGATCTAATTCTCTACCTTCTGTCAAATTTTGAGTAATTTCCGTTGACCGGAAGTACTAATTTACGCTATTTCCGATTTCTCAAAAAACGCATGTAAATTTATAATATCCCGCACTTTTATACACATTTTATTAGGCGTTCACTTGGTGTGGGACGGAGTGGTCTAGCGGTAGAGAGCTGGACTGCTAACCCTTTAGTCTCGAGTTCGAATCCGAGTTCAAGTCAGTAGACCGTCTCTGAGTCCACCCTACTCTGATGGGTACCTAAGTACCTAAGTAAAGGCGGCTGGGCATAGTGCTTCATATGCCGAGGTCACAGAAACAAGTGAACTCTACTTCACTTGCCCCAAAGACCGTCAGGTTTGAAAGGGAAACTTTTCACTTGGTGAGCAATTCTATTTTTAACGAGATTCTATTCTATTATAAAAAGTTTAAGTAATTAAAAATGGACAACAAATATTGTGTATGTCCTGAGTTGCTATCCCTCGTAATTTTATATTAGAATATTCGAGAAAGTTTAGGGGAGATCACTCCCGGTTCATTTTATTGTTTTTACTTTTGAAGTGCTTATTTCTGTAAAGTTTGAAGTGCTTATTTCTGTTAAGTTTGAAGTGCTTATTTCTGTTAAGTTTGAAGTGCTTATTTCTGTGACTTTTCATCTTTAGTGACTTTCCATCTGTTTATTTTAGTGACCATTCAAGTGTTTATTTGTGTGACTTTTCAATTGTTAATTTGTAAGATTTTTTTAAGTAAGTGTTTCTTTTTCTACATTTTTTTTTGTGGCCGACATATCTTTTGTGGCCGACATAGAGGCGTAGCGAGGGGGGGGGGGAGCGGGCGGTGGGGTGCGGAACGCACCGGGTGACACCGTTAAGGGGGGTGACACCAAGGCAAAATTTATAGAGAAAAATGATAATTCCACTTAATTAAGTGATTAATTCGAGTGTTAAATAGTCTTTTAAGAGGTGCAAATCGAAAATTTGAGGGGGGGGGGGGGGGGGGGGTGGGTTGCAAATCAAAATTTTGAGGGGGGGGGTGGGCAAATTGAAAATTGAAAGTTTGTCCCCGGGAAGGGTCGCTATGCCCGTGGGGGGTGACACCATTAAGTGCCGCACCGGGTGGCACCCGACCTCGCTACGCCACTGGGCCGACTTATCCTTGACGGTTTTTTTTTTCGTTCACCAAACGTAATTATCTCGTATGCTCCCTTTTCATCAACCGAACTGACGTTGGTTGTTTAGAGCAGGGGTCTCCAAACTATGGCCCGCGGGCCAGTTGCGGCCCGCGAGGCCCTCTACTCCGGCCCCTGGAGATCTTTTTGTGCACGAACAAAAAAATTACAGAAAGTTACGTGTATCCTGCCAAACTTGTACAATGAAAATCTCAGGTCACTATTGATGTTGCGGACATCAAAGCTAAAGCCTAAAACGTCTTCTATTCTGGCATAAAGGAGACATTGTCACCATTTCCACTAATACAGGTGTTCATGTACATTGTATTAATGTGCAGTGTATAAATGTGCATTGTATAAATGTGCAGTGTAAAATGTGCAGTGTACCAACGTGTAGTGTATAAATGTGTTATTACATAGTAACCCACTTTAAGAATTATTAAAACCAGCATCCATATTTTGATTCTTTTTCATTTGGACCTCGAATGTGTTCTCTGCCCCCTCCTATTTGATAGTTAATGCGGCCATAGGGCTGAAAAGTTTGGAGACCCGTGGTTTAGAGTCGTTAACGCATTGAATGCGGCTGTTACACTGAGTTTGCCGATTATAGTTATCGCCTAACTAAGGCCGGCATTATAGTCACCATCTAAGGCCGGCATTATAGTCACCACCTGACTAAGGCCGGCATTATAGTCACCACCTGACTAAAACCGGCATTATAGTCACCACCTGACTAAGGCCGGCATTATAGTCACCACCTGACTAAGGCCTGAATTATAGTCACCACCTGACTAAGACCGGCATTATAGTCACCACCTGACTAAGACCGGCATTATAGTCACCACCTGACTAAAGCCTACATTATAGTCACCACCTGACTAAGGCTGACATTATAGTCACCACCTGACTAAAGCCGGCATTATAGTCACCACCTGACTAAAGCCTGCATTATAGTCACCACCTGACTAAGGCTGACATTATAGTCACCACCTGACTAAGACCGGCATTAAATTCACCACCTGACTAAAGCCGGCATTATAGTCACCACCTGACTAAGGCCGGCTTTATAGTCACCACCTGACTAAGGCCGGCTTTATAGTCACCACCTGACTAAAGCCGGCATTATAGTCACCACCTGACTAAAGCCGGCATTATAGTCACCACCTGACTAAGGCCGGCATTATAGTCACCACCTGACTAAAGCCGGCATTATAGTCACCACCTGACTAAAGCCGGCATTATAGTCACCACCTGACTAAAGCCGGCATTATAGTCACCACCTGACTAAAGCCTGCATTATAGTCACCACCTGACTAAGGCTGACATTATAGTCACCACCTGACTAAGACCGGCATTAAATTCACCACCTGACTAAAGCCGGCATTATAGTCACCACCTGACTAAAGCCGGCATTATAGTCACTACCTGACTAAGGCCGGCATTATAGTCACCACCTGACTAAGACCGGCATTAAATTCACCACCTGACTAAAGCCGGCATTATAGTCACCACCTGACTAAAGCCGGCATTATAGTCACTACCTGACTAAGGCCGGCATTATAGTCACCACCTGACTAAGACCGGCATTAAATTCACCACCTGACTAAAGCCGGCATTATAGTCACCACCTGACTAACTTAAACTCACGTGTATGATGTTCTATTTATATCTGGAATTGTGGAATTTGTTTTTTAAAGCATTGTTTAAAAATCCGACTAAAAAACAACAAATGATCAATATTGCAAAAATTAAAGTGCATAAGGAGACAGCAAATCTTAAATTTAATAACATTTAACTTTAACCTTTGATCAACTATCAGTGTAGATAATCGAATTTAACTCATCATAACTGATCTAAAAAGGTTACCTATTAACTTGATGTAGTTCAATTATTCACCAGGTTTTGCTAGGATTAAAATGAGATCAGTCTCAATTTTTTAAAATCCCCGCCATCTCTTCAGTTAACATCGGGAAATTGGAGATTTGTCTCCCTTGGCGAGTCTGGTTATTGTCAGGTTCAGTGGTTTAAGGTTTAACACATTTGTAACGTTGTTGTGATATGTAGGTGTAAGTTGGTGGATTTGGTCGTTATTCGATGTAAGTTGGTGGATTTGGTGGATGCAAGTTGGTGGATTTGGTCGTTATTCGATCTAGGTTGGTGGATTTGGTGGATGTAAGTTGGTGGATTTGGTCGTTATTCGATCTAGGTTGGTGGATTTTGCCGTAAAGTGTTTTAGTTTTGGTGGATTTGGTTGTTAGGAGATGTGTGATATCAAACCCAGCAGGTAAAATTTTAGCCTCGTTTTGATTCAGCGTAAAACTAAGCCTAGATACAAGGGACAGCACTCCATGGTACACGACCCAGAGTTTGTTGTTAATCTGTAAGGTAGTCATAAACACTTGAGGAGTTAATTTAATGACATACACGTACTATTCGTGTACGCCTTGTGTACTTCAGATGCCGTAAATTTAACATTTACTTCAATTTTTAGTTCTTGTAGTAAAGTAGGCCTATAGTTTCTATCCCGGAGTCTAACATATACGAACAATCCTAATTAACACAGTTTTAAGTATTTCGATATGGTCTATGTAAAGTTATTCTAATATGTAATTCGATTATTCGGTTTTTTTTTCAGGTTATAATATACATTTACATTCGTATAGTTAATTTAAATAATTGATCAAAGGTAACCAACATTTGTGTTAGTAATGTATGCGCATATACGCGATACGAACGCGACCGTGTCTATAGTATTTCATTCGTTCATGTCGATGTCTGTTTGCTTAGTGTAACAGGCGGGACTTCATTGTACCCGTTGGTAGAGGGTGGTGAGGGGGAGGGTGCGGGATGGGGGTCCTGGTTAGATGTTGGTAGAGGTGGGGGGGGGGGGGGGGTAACGGTTAGAAGATGGTAGAGGCTGGGTGGTGGCCGGTTAGAAGATGGTAGAGGCTGGGTGGTGGCCGGTTAGAAGATGGTAGAGGCTGGGTGGTGGCCGGTTAGAAGATGGTAGAGGCTGGGTGGTTACCGGTTAGAGTTGGTAGAGGCTGGGTGGTTACCGGTTAGAGTTGGTAGAGGCTGGGTGGTTACCGGTTAGAGTT